CGCTTTAGATGTAACTCTGCTAGTGAGCCAACATGGAATTTGAGAAACTTGTCAAAAATCGATAGTAGCAAAACAGGCATGCAGACGGAAACCAGTTGGCGCGTTTTCGAGAACCCTCACTGCATTCTAGAGCATTGGTAAGGCCATGGCCCCATTTTCATAGCAAGATGAGGGTTTTTCCCAGCACAATTTACGCTTAGCCTGTTGAATAAAGACTGACTTTTTATGCCACAAAGCACTTAAATAGCTATGGAATGGAAAAGGGTCTGGAGGCAGGAATTTTGCATTATCATTTTTTGCGATTTGTAGTGGATCTTTTTTCACTCTTATTGGTAGACGTCAAGTATGAGTTTGAGATATACAGGTGAGCTATCATCAGTTTTTCTATAAGGTCGAATCAACGAGCTTTTTGCAAGTAGCCATCTCCGATACTTGCTCTACATAGCCCAGTCTTAAATTCTCAGTTAGCAAACTAGCAGTTTTTCAGCAAATGCGTAGAGAGCTCGAACAAAACTTTGCTTTTTATTTGGTTTACTGGCCACACTTTTAGACGTTTTTGAATCGCAACGCAAATTCCTTAAAAGCCTCATGTAAAACATCAACCATATGTTGCCTTTGTTTCACATTAAATTTTTCATTTCATAATCACTTTTTTCTGCAATTTGGAGAAAAAATTTAAGAGTAACGACAAGCATTCTTGATTTTATCAACTTTGCTCATAAATGTCAAAATCTATTAACTAGAATTTAGTGAACTATCTGAGATAAATTCGAAACCAGTTCTATTCTTGCTTTTCAGAAACCGTGCAGTTGCCGACTACCTACAAAATTGTGGTTACTTAGAGTCATTACAAATATTCAAGCAAGAAGCTAGTTTAGTGAGTTTAACCTGCACAATTCTTCGTAAATTTGTTCTTATCTCGATAATTATTAATCATTGCTTGCTTTAGAGTGCACTTCCGCGATTTATCGCTGTTTTTACGTTCTACAACTTTTTAATCTGACATAAAAGCGAAGAACGAACGTTAAAATGCAATCAAGAAATTCTTATTAATACTTTTCATTGATGCACTTATTTTGTTTGAGACTTCGATGGTTTAGAGCGAAAATGATCATAAAACTATGAGCGGAATGCTTGAAAAGAAATGGACTTCAGTATTGCGACTACAAAAAAAGGTTGGTGTGGGTCTAAAAGCTTTACCTTTGGTTTTTATCTGTTTGGGTATATATCTTCTAGGTGAACGATCTCGAAGCGAAACTAGCGGAAGCGGAGAAAGAAATAAGTCATGGAGCGCCGTCAAGGTGGGACAGTTTGAGTAGTTCAATTTTGAAGTTTTGTTTCCATGAAGATTTTATTATTGTATTTTTATCATTGAGCATTAATGCCGGTGTAAAGTTTGTTTATAACTTATCTAATTTATTTAATTTTTGGGATTTCAGAGAGAAGCGACAACCAGCAGAGTGGATTCCACGTCCGCCTGAACGCTTTGCTTTGACTGGTCATCGAGCGCCGATCACTCGTGTAGTGTTTCATCCAGTATGGAGCGTGATGGCTAGCTGCAGTGAGGATTCCACGATAAAGGCAAGGATTTGAATCTATAGATTTTCATTTGCATTTGAGTTTCCTCAGATTCGTCTTTGTTTGTGAAAGTAAGTAGATCTGGATGCTCTGAGTTGATATTGAGCTTAATGGGCGCAAGAGTGTTATGGATTGCGATTCTGTAACTTCAAAGTTAGAGACACTAGTACAAATAGTATCTGCTGCGATTTCCCAGTGTTTCACTCAAAAAGTGCTTATATTCTTTTTATTTCGTAAGACGTACTTCCTTGATATTGTATCGCTCATCAGAGAGGCGTCTAGCAAATTGTAATATACTGTCTTTTTCGGAATTT